CATGAAACTTTTGGGCATTAATGTCCAATAACACGAGAAAGTTTTCTAAGAATTTGAGCTTTATCCACTGCATCGCTACTGGATTATCGTGTCCAAAGGACACCAACTCATTTCCCTTCACACCAACGGTGACAGTAAAATGGCCACAGTTCTAGAAGGGATTGACGGGCTTCAATGAAATTAGTTTTGTTGATAGCTGAAATACAGCGCTGCATAATGAGCGATTAGCTGGCTTACAAAACCCATCCTTTCCAGACTTATGAAGTTCAATTGCGAAATAGGTGGCATCTCTGGTCATTCATCATAATTCTCTTTGTACTTAAGGAATCGAGCTGAAATTGTGCTTCTGATCTGCATTCTTGACGGAGTATATGCACACACATTTTTAGGTCTTCAACACCTATTATGGCTGAGATCCTCTCGAGGGAAGACTTTTGTCGTCTACTGTATATATATGAAGTTCGCTGTTTGCTTTCCTGATTGTATTTAATTCGTTAGTAAACATATAAATTATTGATTAGATTGAGAATAGAAATTTTTGTTTTTTTAAACTAATTTACCTCTTTATGTTTTTCCATAGTTGCAAATATCTTCGATATTAAATCAGTACAATTTGACATTTGTTTTTTTGCTACTTTTCGTTGATTTGACGTTGTTTTCTTCAAATTTTTCTTTTTATATGTATTTGCAGATTTACGTTTATCCGAAATCTATATTAATATAAAACACAAACATGTATATAAATTTATGTTGTAGATAAAATTGAAATTCTAATATTGACTAGATATTCATTAATTAGAACTGAAATTTCAAATTTGTCTAGACAAAATTAGAATTCAACTAAAAATAAATTCATACAATTCACAAGGTCAAATATATTATTGAATATAAAACTCTTATTTCTTTTTAGATGAATGTTGTTTTATAGTACACTTGTTTTTACAGTCATAAGTTCGAGTGAGACATATTTCTTTTTATTAGATTGTAACGTGCATATGTTTATTTAAACCACTTATCGACATGACATTTTCATTCCATTCTTCTTTTAGTAAAGTACGTGATTGTATGAATTTATTTTTAGTTGAATTCTAATTTTACTCAGACAAAAATAGAATTTCAGTTTTGATTGATGAATATATATATATATATATAATAACAACAATATTTCTACTTACTTCTGTTGGATCTTCTGGTTCAATCGGATCATCTAAACCTCCATCTTCCATTGCTCGTGCTGCTTCAACTTCTTGTTTCCTTCGATCTTCTTCTTCTTGATCAAGTTCTTAACAAAATAATAAAAAAAAAAAAAAGAAAATTTGATGTTATTGTCAATAGTAAAACAACATACCTTTAATACTTTCTTCTATAATATTTGCCCAAAAATCACCTTCAAAATATGGAATATGAAGAGCAGTTTGTACTTGATTATCCAAACAATCTTTCATTACATCCTAAATTAATAATAATAGAATATAACATTCAAATAAATATTTTGAATTTTATTCTGAATTGAGAAAATGCAACTAAATCCTTCTTCATAATAATAGAGAAGACCTCCCGTAATCAACATTATATCCAGAGTAGAAGCTGAAAGAGTGACGCACTTCCGAACATTAACAGGCTGATCCTCCGACAATTTCTGATTATTATAACACGTACTACATGTCTCTACCTTTCAAAGTCTTAAATCACCTCTACGAAAGTGAAAGCCTCCATGAAACATTGCATATAATTAATTGGTTTCTTGACAAATTGGAATTCATATTAGGATATTTACAGTAGTAGACAAAATTCTTTCATCTCAGCCGATCTCCGGCTCACTAAGAATGTAGATTATTGACATTGCAATACCATTACTGTTCTAATTAAAAAAAGAGAGTTATGATGGGCGACGACTGTTGTCGCTCTCAGCTTCATAACCCTGGAAAAGAAGAATGTGCTATGCCAGTTGACTCCTCGTTATATAATGCGACGTGCCAGCTATCTACATTAATAATTTCATTGAAGTTTATCAATTCTCTCCAAGACTGTGTCATTTGTTGTGGAGAGAAAATATCGACTGTCGTTTGGATGTCAATAACTCAGTGATAATTCAATGATACGAATTCAAATTTTTTTTTTTAGAAGCTTCCTCAACACTTTAACATTATTATCTACAAGTTTCAAAAGCAAATCTTCTATTGTTTTATGTGAAGAAAGACTGTAAACAAAAACTTCATCTGCCAACGACAAAATACTTGCAAACCACATTTTTGATGTATAATTCCGTGGATAGTCAACCGCAAAAAAAAATCCAAGGTTTTCAGCAGAATTTTTCGTCTGTAGAACTTGCAACTCCCACTATTCATGACTTTCATTTTTAATGATTGATTACCTATAAATATTACATACTGTTCTAATAAAAACCTTAAAAGGATTAGGGTTAACTAAGCTATCAAATTTCAGTCTAAAACTTTTTGCATATATAGAACTCAATTAGAGAAAATTCCATAAAGAAGCTCATAAGTTTTGAACAAAGTCTCTTCGAAATATGAACCTTTCTTATTAGAACACTATGCAGTACAAAAGTTATTGAAATCAGACCGGGGAGGAGCAGCCCGAAGAAAATCTATCGATAATAGTAATCACAAATAATCGAAGTTTTTTGGTCCAAGCACCATGATTTATTGTGTAAATTTGAATACTCTTTTTTTTTGCTAAACTGATCAGTGCATCGAATTCTACTTTTTCGTCTCATATATTTTATCAAATGAAAAATACTTTTTTGTTTCTTTCAATAAATAGTTAAATAAAAAAAAGTTTCTTTTTTTTTTGTAATAAAATCTTTACCTTATAATCAATAACAACACGTTCAACAATCGCTCTATCAAGCATTTTTTTATACCAATCTTGTAAACGTTTTGGTTTCGGTACACGTTGTTCAAGTGGATGACAATGAAATATATAATCATCCCCTTCACTTGGTGGACATGCCCATATATGTGCATAAACATATCCAAGTTGTTTAGCATAATCCAAATATCCAATTAAAATTTCATGATAAACATCTGTACGATATTGTTTCGGTCGAAAAAAATATACCGAATCCAAATAAGATACATAAACACGTCTTGTATTTGGAGCTTGACAACGTCCATCATATTCTTGTACATGCATACCAAATAAAACAACATCAACGCCTTCAATTTCTTGAAAAGCAAATATAGCTTTTGTTCGATATGGATAACCGTCTGGTACTTGATTTGGATAATATTTTTTTAAACGTGGTTTTACTTCACATATTTTATCACTAGCTGCTAATATACGAATTGTAACACGACCTGTTTGACAACCTTCATTACGTAAAAAATCATTAACACGTTTTTCTAATCGTGATGCTAAATCTGTTACTGTTAATTTTGGTGCTACATAACGATTTTCTTTACGTTTTATATTATATTCATGTATACATGTATCACATATAAAACCTTCGGGCCATACTTGATCTAAATGTAATGCACATACTTGATGCCAACGACGTGTACAAACAATACATTCAATCATTGTTTCAGGTTCTTGTATATCATTTTTAGATGATAGAAATAAACTTTTTGGAATTTCAACTAATGTTTGAGCTGGATCATCACCGACAAATATTGATTCACTTTTAACAGAATCAAAACATTTAGAACAAAATGTATATTTATCACCGGATAAATTATTTCGTGATGGTTCAGAATTGTTATAATAATAATAATTACCATCACGTGCTATTTGACAACATAATTGATTACCATAACAAAACATAACTTGTGGTAAATATACATATTGACGACCACAACAATAACCTAATGATTGTACAATAGGATCAATAGATTCAGCAAATATTTCGGAAAGTTTCGTACACATTTTATAAACACGTGTAGTTTTTTTATTATAAATCCATGCATTATTAAACATAAGCCAAGCATCATCACAGAATTGTAATGGAGTTTTATATTCTCCACGTAATAATTTATTATGCATGGTTGATATATCCATAGGATGTTTAATTATAGTTGGATAATCAAGTATATTAAGTGCAACAGGATCAACAGGTTGTCGAAATGGATGTGAATCTTCACACGCAATCATTTTATGTATAATTGGTTCAAGATGTGCACGTAAATCTTCAGCTGTAAATTGTACTGGATGTTTAGGTAATTGTTTACTTGATGCATCAATTTGTGGTATTTTTGGTTTCATATCATCGGTTGTCGATGATTCTGAATGAGATTTAATCATCACTGTTGTTGATGCTGTATTTGTTGATATATGAGAATAATTATCATGTGTTATATCTTCTTTTTTTATTGTTGATGGCTAAATTAAAGGATACATATATAATTAAAGATTATTAGAATTTATCGAATTTTTTTTTTTTTTTCGTTGAGCTTTTACAATGAATATTAATAACAGAAGTTTCAGTTTTGTTAATTAATACGACTAAGAAAGTATTTGAATTTGAAGATATTTACTAGTATACATAAATGTTCTTTTTTTTTTTTTTGTGTGTGATGCTTGAATAGAGCTTATCAAGTTGAAAAAGAAATGTTTCAAATAAAAAGAAAAACAAAATTTTATAAAGTACGATTTAAAAGACGTAAACATGTGAACCCACTTCCCTTGACATATGCCAATCAACGACTATCGCAAGGTTGTGACAGACGTTTAGTCAGCGACTGTCTTTCAGTGATTAGCAACAGCAGCTATATTGTATTTTCAAAAAACAAAAAAAAAGTTTAAATTTTTGATTTATTTTCTCTTATATTTAAAAATGATAATATCTTAGACATTTCTCAAGATCTGGTTGTTTTTTTTTCTTATGCAACTCAATATCTCGATCTGTATGCGACAACAGCGAGTAAAATCTCGAAAGGTCTTGCAATTGATAAAGATAAGAAGAATCTAAAATGCATTGTGAATTCAATGTTTATATATAATTCTCAAGAGATTATAACAATGCTTTCGAGATTGATTTTATTTGATATAGAAAACTTATTTTAAAGATTATAAACTCAAAATTTAATGACTTCAAATCGATAATGATATTCTTTTATTAACTTATCTAAACTTAATCTGATAATCAGCTTAATCAATTTTTATTAAATTTGATTATTTTAATGATATTAATAATATTGAATATGATAAGTTATTGAAAGTAATCTAATGTATTCAAATTCTTCTTTTCATTTTGTTGAAAGGCTTCATTTGAAGGTTTAGAAGCCAAAATAAATTTTAATAATTTTTTCCGAAAATGAATTTATCTTTCTCTCGGTTCAAAATATAATATTAATTGCATAAATAGAATTTTTAAATAATAATGTACTCATTAAAAATTTAAAAAAAAAAAAAGTTGAAATTCTTTTGATCAAGTATCAATAAAAACATCATACTTGATAGGTAGTTTTTGGTGAAAATGCTTCAGTTTTAAATTGATTCGTATCAATACTATTTCTTGCTGTTTCCATCATATCAATATCATGTGTTGAATTATTATTAATTGTTGTATCTCCATTTAAAAGAAAATTTAAATTTTCATTCGATGGAACATTTGTTATTGTAAATGTTCCTGATGTTGAATTATTATTAGGATTATTATTATTATTATTGTTTAACATAGTTCGATTTGTTAATGTCATTAATGGTTCGGATTTAATTGTTTGTTGTTGAAGAATATTTCCTGTTGTTGTTGATGGTGTTACATAATCATTTAATGGTGCTGTACGATTTGGTGGTAGATTATGTTCACCGGTCATTGTATCCATAGTTGAATGAATTTTCGTATTAAAATCATTTGTTGATGATATTTGTCCTGTTGTTGATGATATTTGTGCAGCTAATTGCATATCTTGTAAACGTTTTTTTTCACGACGATCTTCTAATTCTTTTTGAATTTTATATATTTTTTCAGCTAATTTATGAAAATATTCTTCTTGATTATTAGCTATTTCAAATGTATCATTTTCAACACGTCGAGCATAATTAGCTAAATTAATAATACGTTTATCACGCATAGCACCTGTATCAGTTATTGGTATAAGTGCTGTTATTATTTTTTGTACAAGATGATGACGCATTTCTTGTGTTACACGTCTTTGCCATTCTTTATTTATTGTTAGGGATGTTGTTGTTGGATTATTATTATTATTATTATTATTATTATTATTGTTATTATTATTATTATTTGTAGTTTGATTTAATTTAGCTAATGTTGATGGTGTTTTAAGTGGTTGACATATAGGACATTGAGAATTATTACATTGTTTCCAATGTAAAATAATTTGTCGCGATGTGACGCAATGTGCAACTGCACATGTTTTATGATCATTACATTTTGTCATATGTTGTAGAACATTTTTCATAGTACTACAATGTGGTAATGTACATGTACTTGGACGTGTTGTTTCACCATTAGTTGTTTGTTTTTCACGTTGTTGACATTTATGTGCATGTAATAATAAAACAAGTTGTTTTTGAATAAACTGTTTACGTTGAACTTCAGTATGTTGTTGTTGTTGAGAATTATTAGTTGATGTTGGAATATTATTAATTGTTGCTTGTTGTGGTAGTGGCGGAGGTTGTTGTTGTTGTTGTTGTTGCTGAGGTTGAGTTGTTATGATATAATTTGGTGCATTAGTTGAAGTTTGATCCATCATAGAAGTCTAAGAGAAAATATTTGAATTTAAAAAAAAAATCGATTACAATTATGTAAAGTCTTTTGGTCTCAAGTTCAGGTTTTTTTTTTCTCTCTTTCTATTTTTTATATGACATAAAAAATCTTTCTTATAATGCTCTGGTCATATAATGGTCGCGATCTGCTACAGTAAATAAAATTTTAGAAGGTGATAGTTATTAATAAATAGAAGTAATGAATTATTTTATGCATGTGAAGTATTTTTTATATTTGAAGAGTAATCTTTTTTTGTCAAAGAAATCTATACATTATATTAAGGATGCAAAAACAATAATTAGTAGACATTAAAGATATTACTTTTCCGTATAAGTCTGTTATCATTTACGGAAAAATATATAAATTTCTAAAACTGATATGTTCTCTAATGAACGTCCAAGTATGATATAATTTCTTTAGTTTTCCAAAAAAGAAAAGAGAGAGTATTGTCTTTTTTCGATTAGAATAATATGCGAAATAGCTCATATAAATTTTATATAATTTGAAAATAAAGTTTTAAAAAATTGAATTACAATCCTGGACAAAAAAAAGCTGTTTTCTATGAAGTGCGACATCAGACCCTTCTAATCGTAAGCACTAACTCACCCGCCATTAGTTCATATATACTGAAGTTATGATTTAAACATCATCTTATCTCGATTATGTTAACTTTTTACAGCCGAAGAGGGTTTTTCATACAAGAAAGCGAAGACAACCATAAAGATAGTGTTTGCCGACCCTCAGTATACTCACCATATAGTCAGAATGCACTACCTTGCTCTTCTTCTAGAGTTACACAGAACTCTTTGCTAGAAATATCGGGGGTTACAAAAGTCTTTAAGAGAAGGATTTTAAACTGAAACTTTGCCCACAACTAGTTAGTTTTCATCACTATCAATTTGCCGTGAAATTTTCAGTCAAAATGCATCCTTTATTCTCGAGATATTGAATGTGGAAGAAATTAACAAAAAAATAACTTCTCTTTAACATGCTGTATTTTCTGAAGTAAAGCCTATTTATCGCTGAAAATTTCAGCACAATATAAACAGCACATTAGCTATTTATGGGCGAGTTGTCTAGCCGAAATTCTTTTGTTTTGACTTTTTATGCTAGATATCTCCCACTGGATCTGCATGACAGCATTTTGCGTTGACAGAATGTTATAAAATTTGCCGGATGATCTCATCAGATACCTTAAGACTGTATGTAATGATATCTCTTAAAAAGAGAAAAGGTAGGGGAGTTTTAAAAATCATGAGTATCAAAAACCCTCGGATTTCTTTTAGGAGTCAAGTCAAAATTATTTTTCTATTTCAATATGATCGCTAGGATCATGCCATTTCAGAGGGAATTTCGATTTCTGCATATAAATTCTCCTAGTGGATTTTATTGTAGTTAAACCGATATCCCTTGGAAGGGACATTCGGCTTTTAAGGATTAACATAAATATTTTCAGTGAAGTCCTGATTTGAAAGACCACTGCTGCAACTATCTCTAGTCTGAATTTCGACTTCGCCCTACGGCATGAGCACAGTGAACGTTAGATGAATATCTTTTCCCATAGAAAGACCTATGGAATAAATCATAAGGCTCTTACTATATCGTTCTATATGAAAAACTTTTTCACTAGAAATATATGCATACTTTCTCGACTAGAGTTTTCTGGTAAGACGTGCTCAGTGTATTCGGGTGCGCAAATTTTAAATTCGGTAAAATTTTCATAGAATGTTTTACTGTCTGAAACTTCTACTCAGAACAACGTGAATGCTTCTGGAGTGTGATAGAGATTTTCTAAAAAGGCTTGATTTTCAAGGTATTTGGACAATTTTTTTTTGACTAAGAAGAGCTTTAAGAGAAAAAATAAAGACATATTTAAAGTTAGTACGAAAAACTGCGTCGGATAATGTTTCATTTGTTATTCTTTTTTTTTAAATAAAATTTTTTCCAATGAACAATCCCCTTGGTGCATTTTTTATGGTAAAATATGCCTTTACAAATTTCAAGTCTTATTTTTTGTCGAAAACTAAAAATTAATATTGCTACGAACAAAAACACATGTGTTTTTGACAGAACACAAGTCATGTCCACTATAATGGATTTACTATCTAAAGCAAAGCTAGTAGCATGATCGATAACCAATAGTTTTTAATGAACAAAGCGATTGATCAATTAAAAACGTTTTCTCATAAAATTTTAACTATATCTTACAAGCTTCGACCATAATAAAATAAACATATGGGAATGCCTTGAGCACTAGAAAGAAAAACAGTTGTAGCTTATGGCATAACAAACATACACTTTTTTTTGGCAAGAGAAAGAACATGTCTCAATCATAAGTATAATATATGTCAGTCGATGGAAAACCGCTTGGTGTTTTCGATCAAAGCTAGGACAAGTATTTCAATTATAACTCTTCTACCATTCTAAATAAATCCATACTCAATAGGAACATTTTATTTGTTGTCTTCCAGTGTACCAAAAAAAAGAGTATATTTCAATATCTCTACTTGCGATCAGAAATCATTGTGGCATGCATGCATGCCCTGAAAATATGTAGCACTTCATGGAGTAGAAGCGATGACTATTTTTGTCCATGTTAAAGAATATCGATTTAAAAAAAAAAGTATGAACTTGTATGGTTTCAGGATAATAAAGTTTTAAATGAATTGAAGAATGAAGACTTTTTAACTAGTTGACATGATTCTCTCGTTCTTAATATTAAATATAACATACTCTTATATTATAAGATTGTAGAGAATTTTGTTGTGGCATATGTATTTGTGATTGTTGCTGTTGTTGTTGTTGAATTTGAAATTGATTTAATTGTTGTTGTGTTAATGAAGGTAAACCAGTTGATATTGTTTTATTTGTTTGAGCTGTTTGTGTCACTGTATGTTGTGGTTGTAAACCGACTAATGTTGATGGTTGTTGTGTATTTGTAACAAATACACTATTATTATTTGGATCACTTGCTTTAACAATACTCATTTGTGTAACATTTTGATTCATTGAAACCATTCCCGATGTATTATATGGTTGTCGTACAAGTGTTGATGGTATATTTGATGATTGTTGTTGTGATGTTGACATACGTGGATATACAGGTCGAGATGTATTCATCATTTGTTGTTGAGTATAAATCGTTTGTTGTTGTTGTATACCATTTGATATAACATTTGTTGGTCGAACAATAGTTGATGTTGGCATTGTTGGTATACGTTGTAAACTAGGTGTTTGATATGATGATAATTGTGGTCGAGGTTGTGGAATATAATTAACTCGTTGTTGTGTTGGTTGATATAAATTTGTTTGTTGATTTGTTGACGTGGATGTTTGTTGTGATTGAGTATTATCAATAGGATCATTAAAATCATTTGTCATATCAAATAAATCTTGTGTATTATTTGTATCGGATGTATCAAATTGTGAAATCATTTTAAAATCAAAATCTATTTAAGAAAAAGAAAAATATATATTTTTGAGATTTTTATTTTAAAAACCTGATTCATTTGAATTTGTACCCGAACGAAATTTTTTTGTTGGTGGTTGTTGTGGTCCAAGAAAGTCAGCCATTATCCATCGTCATATAAATATTAAATAATAAAACTAATACCAATCATCTATAATAGATTAAATTTTTTTATAATCTACACCCATTTATTGTAAATATTTGTTACGGATACTTCTATACATACGCCCGAACTATAGAGCATGCATAACATTCAGCACAAAGCGGAAGTACTAGCGACAACTGGTGGACATACGATCGTTTTATATATGTGATTGGTGAGAGGTTTTATTCTAATGCATTAATGTTTTATATAAAACATTTTTGAAAAGGATGAAAATGTTTTATGGATTGGTTGAATTATTTACCTGTAAAAGTTTCTTGTTGTTTTCCTTTTTTCTTTTTTTTTTTGTACTTTTCAAATAAGCAGCTAATGTATGTGTAAAAGTAATGGATCAATTATATAATATGAAAAGAAAATAACAAAAAATGAAAAATGAAAGGAATAAAGATAATAAATACGACTATTTATACAAAAATATATTTCTTGGTAAGAATGAATCATTGTTGATAATTGTCAATTCGAAATGTAGTATATAACGTTGCATGGAAAGAGAATATTTCGTAATATAAAGAACAGAAGAAAAAAAAATGTTTAGTGAAGACAAATAATAAGTAGAAAAGAACTTTTTCTCTTATTGGAGGCAAAATATTCTACATTTTACTATTAGAAAATATTGAAAATAAAAAATTAATTTTATTTTCGAAAAAAAAAAAATTGTTTTTCTTTTTGATGTAGATGTCTTAATGCGTAATTCGATTTAAAACAATCGAGAAAGAATAATAAACATTTTTTTTTCTGTTCGGTCATTTTTTATCCATATATATAAATTATCTATTTGGAATAGAAACGCATCGAATCGAGACCATACCCAAATATTGTTTAGCGTCTTCAATAAGTTCGAAAAAAAAAAAAATTCTTTTTATCATTTATTGAGTTAGATTTTTAAGTCGGAAAAAACCTAAAAAAAACCTGTTTTTTATACTTTTAATTAGTTACGCAGATTGATTTCTCTGATATTTGTCATATTGATATATATCCACAGGTGAGAGAGGGCAGGTCTACATCATCAAATGCATTTTATTGAGAAAAAAATACTACAAGATACAACATGAGTAGCTCTACAATACGAAGCTTATTACTTTTAGTTTTAAAAATAAACATAATTTTGTATGAGTAATTTTTGACGCTGCGAAGAAGATTGTTTTTTTTTTTTTGGTACAAAACGATTTCCTTTTCTTATATTTCATCGGTTACGAGCCCCTTACCACAAAAACCTAAGTACATGAGATATTAATGAAACTTTGCATAGATGTTCAGCTCATGGAAGTACATTAATAAAATAATAAATTCACAATTTTATAGTTTATCATTTCGAAGATTTTCAGAGATTCAACTGCAAAACAAAACTTTTATGCGGACAAATATTTTATCAATATGTTTCAAGGTGCAAAGTTCGGGTTGATTTCATTTGAATTTTTTTAATTTTTCAGATCATTGAAACTTCAAAAACCTGAATTTTCTAGGCATGATTTTTTGAAGAATTCAAGATTAATTAGTAAACTATTTTCTCGTACCTGAAGAATTCTATATATACATATCTATTGGTTTGAAAAAACACACGACACGGTAGAATGAAGTATATTGAAGAAAATGCAAAATAAGTTGTTTTTTTTTTAATTTAGTCATCTATTATTAGTTTAAATGGAGGCGAAACATAAATATATAATATGTCAATTGATGCACTTGCCTATGTACAGTAGATTGTCCTTGTACGAAATACAACACTATATCGAGTCTTGTCTTTATATTTGTTACGAGTAACTCATAGGCAATATGCTACTTTATTTTATATAAAACATTTATTTTGAGGATGTAGATGAAGAGAAGATCTACAGGCACATTCTCTCTATTATTGTAGACCTCAAAGACGTGTCTCTAAGATTTGATTACCTGTGAAAAATATTTGTTTATCTCTAAGCATCATTATTTGTCTAGATAGTTTCAAAGATCATTTATAAATCCTCTCAAAAACAAAAAACTTTGAATATCGAAACTATTTCTATAAATTCGTACACTAGGAAAATCAAGCAACATGTTTATATACTTTTATCTCACAAGTCAATGATTTTAAACCAAATGATACGTGTTTTGATTAGATTTTTTTCATTCATTCTGATGTTATCCAGAAAAGAATTCCCAGGTGAATGATGCCCGGCCGTAAACGGCCGTACACAGTCAAATACGGTTGAAAACGGCAGCCGTGTACGATAGCTGTTTACAACCATCGTAAACGATGCATTACGGTCTATT